TAAGTGTCTGCTTTCTTCGTTCAATTGCTCGGTCCTCTATTTCTGTGTTCAATTTCTGTTTTGCTCTTTAGGGCTTATCCTCGTTGTTGAGGGTGTATCACCAGTGAGACTTGCTGGGAGACAATGGAACTTCGCACATCTCATCGGACGTCGACTGCTACGCGCTTCTGATCCCCTGGCTTATTCCAGTACATCACCTTTCAATTCCTTAATTCTTTATTTGCCAGGTTTGTGGATTTCATTATTTCTAAACCATTTTTTAGTCATGATCAAGATTTTTTGATTCCCAAAAGTTCGCTTAGCCTCGTCGATATGAGGCGAGATGACTTCAAAATTTCGCTTTTCTAAGATTTACTAGATATTTTTCTCTTCTATGAAGTTTTTAATGGCTCGCATGGATGTTGATAAGGCTTCGTGCCACAGCTTTGTCTATACTAGTTTTGTAGCCAAACATAATCATATAATCAGTGAGTGAACTCCTTATTTAGGACCCTAATTTTACGTCAGTGATTGCAATGGTTAATATGGACGCAGTACGGGCTTATCTTGCTGCAACATTTCCGACACTGCCTTCTGAAATAAAGGACTATGTTTCTTGTGAGTTTGCTCAAACAGCGGTTGGCTTTGCTGCACTTTTTTTGAATTTTCAGTCATTTAAGGTATTCTCGAGGCCAATGTGAATAAACTACTGACTCTTGAAGACGTCGTGGAAGCAGTTGGTGCACACATTCAGGTACTATAGCTGTGCTCTTTTTCAGTCTTCATTGTCTGCCAAAATTCGTTTTCTGTACATAGCCAATTCCAGATCTTATAGGATTCGATTTTAGAGCCATGTTCAAGGGTCATGTAACGACCTACTTAATCGAACGTGTTTACAACTCCTACGTTTACTTCATGGAGAGTAAGTTGGCCGTTTTGTCGTGCACCAGTCTTGGTTCATGTTGGAGTTCCTCCATGAGTCTGGGCAGAACACTGTGTGCTACCGAGGTGGCTTGAAAGTTTCGTTCAATCACGTTCAGGAATTCCTCAAAGGTTGAGAAACATCCAGTGACCACCGAAAAACTGGACCAGGGTGTGGATATGGCTGCGGAGAACCAAAGTTCCGCTGGAATGGAGAGGGTGTCGAAGGTGCAAGCTATGGATGTGCCGACGGTGAGATTCCAGGCTTGTCGGCGTTTTTATATAGTGTTGTATCTTTCTATCGAAATTCTATGTTCAATGGATCCTTTTCTTTATAACGTTAACACTTGCTCATTTTAATTTCATTTTAGACAGCGAACAAGGAGGAATTGGGAAAGGTTGGTGTCCGTGCGGAACAGAAAATCGAGCAGCGTTTCGCCGAAGCTGTTGCGCAAACGAAGGAGCCCAGGAGCTCAGCGACCTCTTCTCAGGTATGTTTACGGTTTCTCCGTTGTTAAACTCGGTAAAATGTAGCGCGAGGCTCTTGTTGATGACAATTTTGCTCTACCATTTCAATTGAGAAAACATGGTTTTGGTCTACCTCGCAGACAGAGTGAGAAGATGGTGAAATATTGTATTCTTTGCGATCATCAGATTTATCAGGAGCGGATGTATAGAGAGTGTGGGTGGGGAAAATAGGGACACACACGTTCTTTGCACCTCTTCGAGCTTCCCTCCAGCTAATCGCGATGCAGTCTTAATTTGGTGCGAAGGCGCACAGGTCCTATGCTACGCATCTGTTTCCAGAAGTCGTCAGAAGAGTGGCTTATTTGAGCAGCACTCATCAAATCCCTGTAGTTGATTCACAATTTTATTGCGAGTAAACGGAACAGGTTTTGCTTCCCAGATCGCCTTTTTTCGTGCATCCACTTGTTCCTTCCTGCCAAATTCTTATGTCGACTTCAGAAGACGAGTGTTTGCATAGCGGCCCATGCCTTTGAACCTAATTAAGGTCTCCGCATCCTAGTCT